AATTTCACATAATATTACGTAGCGTTTTTATTTCCCGGTCGATAGCTGCTACCTTGACGTGGTGGTCGGGCTTTCATATCGCAATGACCCAACGAGCTACACTGCCTGGAACTTATGTTCCTGTAGGTCCTACCATGCCAGAAAAGTTGTTTGGATAGCGGTTAGACAAAAAGCAGCTACCCAATCCAATACTATGACTCAAACAAACTCACCAAATATCATGCCGGATCGGTAGGGGCCCGGATTAACAACTACCGCGCTTCCTGCTGCTGTGTCACAGGGCAGAAGTGATAAATATGCTACTGAGACACACCAAACAAGAAAGAACAACCAGGCTGCGTGCGACCGGCCTCAAGAAGTTGTCCCCTGGGCTCTGCGATCACGCAACACTAACCTTTTCTCTATTTTAGGTACCCGAAGACTCAACCAACTTCCACGGTGTGGGCAGCCGGGAAATAACAACCGCCAACACATTTTTCCAGATAGGATCGCTTACTTGACGTCTAACCTTCACTTTTCTTCTGTTACGTAAGAGAGGGCTTGTTTCGCATATGGCAATTTACGCTGTCTCTGGCGTCGACTTGATATCTGACTATCGACCAAAGGGCGTGTGTACTGCTCAGCACAGCAGTCCGCTCCGTCCTCCTTTATGGCTGTGAGACCTGGCCATTGAGAGTGGAAGACATGAAAGATTAGCTGTGTTCAATCATAGGTGTCTGCATTCTATCTTCCATGTGAAGTGGTAGAATAAGGTGAGCAGTATTGAGGTTAGCGTCGAGTGCTAGGTAAGGAGGGAGGGGAGAACAATCGACGAGGCTGTGAAATTACATCGACTGAGATGGTGAGGACATGTATTACGCATGCCTAGTCATAGCCTTCCTCGACAATGGGTAATGTTAGCTGACATAGGGTCAGGCTGGAAAAGAGCTAGTTAGTGGTGGTCAAACGAAAACATGGCACCAGTCAATGAAATCTACAACAGTTAGTCTAGGCCACGTAGGAAGGTGTAGACTTCCTGACTTCCTGGTTGGGGTCCCCGGGACGGTAAAAACCAATGGTTGGAAACAATTGGTGACATGGCTCAAAATCGTTCTCAATGGCTAGCGCAGATGCATCCACTCCTTGTGACTTATGATTTCCAATGAAACTATTTTGTTCTCCGATATTACTATTCCTTTGTCTCACACCTCTGTTTACTGTCTATATTATTATGCATTTATCCTCCTTTCTTCTGCCACTTTGTGTGCTACATGGAGTGTGGCGACTTGGACTGCCGCACATCAGTGCAAAGTTCTATGTCAAAAACCGCCCGACCGAACGCTTTTTTTTATTCGATTTGTCTACTAATCTTATAATTTCACACCCTTTTTCAAGTTCTGTCCATCCTACGAATTATTCTATATATGGTATCAGTTTGCTTTGCCACTTGACATTTAACTACGAATGTAATCACAAACGTTTTTAGTTTTAATTGCATTTCATACTACTATTATTATTATTTTATGCATTTATACCTATGATTCAATTCCCTCGCTCACCGGATATAAACTTCTTAAAGACCACATGTATATACGACTGTACAGCTTGATAATAAATTCGTTGAAAAGAGTCTCTTCGCTGAATCACTTATTATTTGATCTAGCGACCCACCGTCATCGGTTAAACATTTTATCTATAAATCTATTCCCAACAATTAGTTAGTAGGGATTCTAATTCTCTCAGGTAGAATCGCAGTTTGATACCACAGGGAATACTGGACTGCCAGCCGTTTCATCCTAGTTTGAGACTCCTTGGCAGTACGCACCCACCGCCAGAATTTGAACCCAGGACCTGGCGGTTACAAGGCAAGCTCGTAGTATTCCATCCAACCACTGGGATCCGAATTGGCAGAAGTTAGAATTCATGGGCCATCAATTCATGATTTTAACGCGACCATTACCCAAAGTTATCGGTCGGTCGGTCGGTTTTCGACATAGAACTTTGCACTGATGTGCGCCTGTTCAAGTCGCCACAATCCCTCCTTGTAGCACACAAAGCTAGAGAAGAAAGTAGGAGAAATGCATATTAGAGACAGTAAACAGAGGTGTGAGACAAAGGAATAGTAATAACGAAGAACAAAACAGTTTCATTGGAAATCATGAGTCACAAGGAGTGGAAGCATCTGCGCCAGCCATTGACAACGACGATTTTGAGCCATATCACCAATTGTTTCCAACCATTGGTTTTTACCATCCCGAGGGCCCCAACCAGGAAGTCTACATCTTCCTACGTGCCATTTTTTTCGTTTGACCAAAGCTACCTCTTTTCCAGCCTGACCCTATATCAGTTAACATTGCCCATTTTCGAGGAAGGCGATGACTAGGCATTGCTGCGTAACACATGTCGTAACCATCTCAGTCGATGTAATTCCACAGCCTCGTCGATTGATTTCCCCTCACACCTACCTAGCACTCGACCGATGCCTAACCTCAATATTGCTCACCCTATTATACCACTTCACACGGAAGATAGAACGCAGACACCTATGATCGAAGACAGCTAATCTTTTCATATCTTCCGCTCTCAATGGCCAGGTCTCACAGCCATAAAGGAGGACGGAGCGGACTGCTGTGCTGAGCAGTACACACGCCCTTTGGTCGATAGTCGGATATCGCGTCTACGCCAGAGACGGCGTAAACTGGCATATGCGAAAGTAGCCTTCTGTATTCGTGCTGAGATTTAGTCAGCAATCGACCCGTTGGGGCTGATGGTGCTTCCAAAATAAGTGAAGTGGTCAATGTGCTCTACCACTTCACTTCCGATTTCCAATCTAGGAGTCGGTGTAGTCGAATCCTGCAACATCATCCTACATTTTCGGTCGGGGAAAGTTATCGGCAGTGAGTAATTGTTTTCACATTCAACCTAGTGGATTCTACTGGTCACACACCTTCTCACTGGAATTAAGGGAAATTTCACCCTGTGACCAGTCACTAGCAAGCATCAGATTGGCTGCTTACAGTCGCATCATCTCGTGAATTGGTAGGAGTTGAAATTCATGAAAGTGGTCAGTGGATCAAGTTCCAATAGCTGAATAGTCTACAAGATTTCCTTGACACCAGAAGCTCCTGGATTCCAACTGTTCAATACTCCTCTTTGCTGGTTTTCAATTGTTGTCTAACTGACAATCAGTCAATGTTTAAGCATGAAACCAATCAAATACCCCCATATAAACCAATCCTTGAAAATAAAAGTAATTTTCTCATAATCACACACCACTGAGCCCGAATAACTCAGCGGTAACGTCTCTGACTGCAGCACTCACTGGGTGTGACGCAGGCTAAAACTCAGAAGAAGGGACATGAGTTGTTCCTTCAAGGTGCTTCTTGCAGATACGCCTTGCTGACGAGTGAGTGCCAACTAGCACGAAACCTTTAGGTGAAGCAAGGCTTCCTGTGGTCGATTGCCTCCAAATATCTAATATTTATTTTTTTAAATACCATAACATACTTGGCCCGTGTTCTAAGTGACAGAGACAATGTTAATCGCGAAACCTATGACTTGCTTTGTTGTTAATAATCATAATTTTAGGCTCTTTTATTTCTCTCTTATCTTGTATTCTGTAGTGAACATCTTCTCAAACATACTTAGCTACCTAAATGATTAACATTGACTTCCTTTTTTGTACTTTACTCTATTCCTTCTTCTGTGTATCTACTGGTTCCGACTACATTAGCACTATGAGTAGTACAAATTTGTCCTGTCATTAACCATCATGCAATTATTAGTTTTTATGGTTGTTGTTTCTTTTTGTTCGGCAATATTAACTGACAATCTTGGTTGTGAACGCCATTATCACCATCTTAAAATTTTGTACTATGCAGGATTACTCACACTACCACTACAAACACTGCATTAGACCTGACAATAAAAGAAACAAAACAACAACCCTGAAATGTTATTTTATGATTGTTTAGTGTTGTTTCAACCAAATTGACTGATCATCTTGGCGATAAACATTCTTAAATATCATTAAATAACTTCTTGTATGACTATAGCTTTACTGTCACCATGCATAATCATATTATAGCTTCCACTACACAATACTGAGATATTATTTATTATATTGTTTATTTTCCTTTCTACCTCATGGTATATTTTCGCATTTTTATAATTTTCTTTTGTGTATTTTGTGATTTTTTGCTGTTGTTGTCTTTATATTTATATTTTTTGAAATACTCTTTTTAAACGTTGGATAAAATTAGATGCAAATATTGTAGATATGTGCTGAAAATTCCCCACTGTACCACTAGTACTGTTTCTGGAATAAAGCAAATTATTATTATTATTTAAACCATTCACATCAACATGTACTACTTTCTAGGCAGAATAGAAGTGAACTGACGTCAAACAGCCTTTTCGATTGATCCGAATCTGTTTGATTCTCAAAGGAAACGGTGATGACTTCCAATGTCAAACTGTGTAATTCGAATAGCCCATTTAACACAGCACTAACTATTTTACAACTACACAGTACTCTCTGAATTATGCATATCGAGAAACATTTGGCAAGAGGCAAGTGACATTTTGGATCTTTGAGTGTTTCTGTTTAACCAAGATTTTACACTAAAGGACATTCTAAGTGTTCCAGTATAAACGGCATTCAATGAAAAAACCTGCTAGCTCAACCTTTTCGACTGTGATCTTTTATAATAAGCAATGCTCAGGAAGCCGATAGTGCCGATAGTGGAATAAAGCAAATTATTATTATTATTTTTGATTCTAGCTTGATTCGACATCCTATATTTTTGTTACAAGCATGGAATTTACAGCATGTGATATCCGTAGGCTTATCATTTGCAGTCTGACCATTTGATATCTGATGTGTGTGCGGCCGGGGCTCGAACCTCGGACTGTCTGCATGGTCGGCGAGAGTCCTAACCGGTGTGCCACTGACGCACGCATTATGTGAACAAGTTTCGAATACACACACAGAAAGAGAGATAGGAAAAGGAATAAATACATTTCATTATTAAATTACGACAAATATTATAACTCTTTGTGAACACAAGATGGCATAAAGACACGGTATAAGACTAGATAAGGGACATTTTGTTGTTGTTGTTGTTTACATTCGATGAAGAGAAAACAAAGTTTGAAAAGCAAAGCAAAGAAGGAAAGGAAAAATAAACATATGGCAAAACACAGAAACAAAGAAGAATTAATTTTGGGGGGAAGGGAGAAACCAAGATGTAAACTGAACGTCTGTCTCCTACTGCTGCTTTGAGATGGTGACTATTCACATCTTCTTTGTAGAAAGTAGTCAGAAAAGAAAAGAAAGAACAGATGGACAAAGAGGAGTGAGGGGAGATTGAGGACCAAAATAGTTACGTAATAACACAATGTAATACACTACACACTTTGTTTCTCTTTTCTAACAAAGAAGACATACGTGAACAGAATGAGCAAAGGTACGCATCGAATTGACAGTTGTTCACTTTTTTTAAACAATTGAAGAGATAAAAAAACAAAATGATGAGAATTGAAAAAACAAACGAAGATAGGAGTCAGTCGTCTGTTCTATATTCCTCGACGTTCCCCCCTGTAGTGGAACACACACATAGGGTGCCTTCAGGCTAGAGAGCGCCCTGAAGTTTCCCTTGGGTGTAGTGCATTGCTAGCCAGCCTCATGTCCAACCAACATTCCCTATTTAGTACGAGGTTAAAGGAGGAGGAGTGCATCTGTGACCGGGATCGAACCTCGGACCGCATGAGGTTGGCGTGGTTAGCGAGCATTCTACCCCCGAATGCCACCGACCCACCAACATACAAGTCAGTAAAACTGTTTGAACTGTGTGTATCAAGCAAAAATGCGAAGGGGACGTGTACAGAACTACCCTTTGAAGATGAAATCACCAAAAAATAAGCAAAGATGTTTGTTCCACCGATGAGTTCGTGATTGCATAATAGATAAATAAGATGTGTACTCAATAATTATTGCCTCTGTTCGCTTGCTTTCACTTGTATAAATACCAGCAGAAAAACAGAAGAAGAAGGAGAACTTATCAATAAATGTGTAAATAAGTAAGCATCTATTGCGCGTAACACAAGCGAAAGAGGATTATGACATAAGAAATCAATACGAACGACGATCATATGTGTGTATATATATATATATTCATGAAGATAATTACGTCATATGGGTACATCTATGTATGTACGTATTCATGTATGTCGTAGAAGGTTAATTAAACATTTAATGAAGAATGAATGAGAAAAGGAAATGATAATCACTCGAATTTACCTCCTCCCGCCGCCCTCGAGACTCCAGTTATACTCTGAGCAATGACAATGGCGATGAAAGGCATAACATAGTACTTATAACAGTAAGTAAGTAAGTAAAGTGAGTAAGTATAAGATTGTATAGGGGTATAAATTGCCTTTACAAATATACATAGGAAAGTAGACTCTATACAGATACAGGGGGTAAGTGTTCCTTAAGCGGTTTTTGGTTTTCTCCTTCTCTTTGGTCATTTTCAGTGTATGTGTATGTGTTGAATAACTTTCATTTTTTCGATTGGTTATCGATTTCTATTTTTTTTGTTGTGATTAACGAATTTTCACAGTCGTTTCATTTTCATCACACTAGAAGACAGAAAAAAAGAAATTTTAAACAACGAAATAAGATAAACCAGTAGGGGAATTCAAATATACCAGCAAAAATGTTTCCATTGAGAGAAAAACAAGACATAAGGAATATTATTCGAGATTGACAACGGAATGATATCAGTTAGGGAGAACTGTTGGATACTAACCGGGGGGTACTGAACAGCTGCTTCATCCTGGTTTGGAGATCATCAGCAGTACACACCACCCATCGAGGCATTCTGCTCATACTCATGTAGCCGTGTAAAGGCTTATGAGGAATTGTCATCTGAATTGATAACAACCAGTGGTGTCCGTCAGGGATGTCCACTTTCCCCATTTCTGTTTAACTTCATCATACATATGCTAATGGAAGTATCCTCAACAGAACTTAACGGCTCAGGAATCGACTTGTTACCAGGAAATAGTCTTATGGACTTAGAATATGCAGATGACATTGTCCTGTTAAGGGGGGATGCTGACAAAATAGAGCAGAGTCTTCTGAACACCTTGAGCAGCAATCTTCGTATATTTAGCATGCGATTCGCCCCTGTAAAATGTAAGATGCTGCTACAGGACTGGACTACGTCAACTCCTAGCTTAGTGATAGGGAGTGAAGTGATAGAACATGTTGACCACTTCACCTATTTGGGAAGTTGTATCAGCACCAAAGGACTGATTGGCGACGAAATCTCAGCATGGATCCAAAAAGCTCCAGCTGCTTTCGCTAACTCACACCATCTCCAGCGTAGGCATGACATCCGGTTATCAACCAAGGGACACTCCGTCCTTCTCTATGGCTCTGAAACATGGCCAATACGAGTTGAAAACATGAAAAGGTTAACTGTTTTCGATCATAGATGTCTACGATCTCTTTCTCACGTTAGGTGGCATAATAAGGTAAGTAATGTTGACATTAGGCATAGAGTGTTGGGCAAAGAGGGAAAATAAATCGACGAGGCTATAAAGTTACATAGATTGAGATGGCCAGGTCACATGCTGCGAATGTCTAACCATCGCCTCCCCCGACGGACGGGCATTACTAGCTGATATAGGTGCAGGTTGGTTGAAAAAGAGTAATTGGTGGCCAAACAAAAACATAGCATCAATCAATCCATGAAATCCTTCACAGTTAAACTGAGTCAGGTAGGGAGATGCAGACTTCTGGGTTGGGGCTCGCCCTCAGGACTCTAAGAATCAATGGCTGGAGACAATAGGTGACATGGCTCAAAATCGTTGTCAATAGCTTATGCAGATGTATTCAGTCTCTGTAACCTTTCATATTCCTTTCTACCATTACTCATTCTGTTTCACTCTTATACTTGTCAAAACTCTATTGATTCTCTTCATCAATCATTTTGTTGTCTACCTTTGTGTGCTATTTAGAACGTGGCAACTGGAACTGCTGCACTTCGGTGCCAAGTTCTATGTTGAATCCAGACAGACAGGTTGCGAAACCAGAATATTTAGAACATTATATAAGTAGGGAAATTTCTAAAATCAATTGTAGGCCAAACTATAAGATATCCTGGCTGATGGATGAACTTTACCAACCAACATATATATCCTATTGGTGTTATTAATTTTCGGCATCAAATTAAAAAACAAATTTACCCTCGTCTAGAAATGGCTTCATTCTTCAGCGTATAAGGTTCAAGGTGGATTTCCCTACTTTATCCATAATAGTGTCTTATTCATCGCAGCTTCAACGGTAAAACGCTCGCTAGGCTTCTATCCCCGGCCACTGACGCACTCCAAAACATCGCTAAGCTGACGCGAGGTAAGGCCATAAAGAAGAGGAAAGCCTTGAGCAAAGCTAGCAACCATACCCCGTTAAAATGTAACAATTTAATGTCAAACATAGGCACTGTGGTAGTAAGTAAGTCCATATTAGTTTGTTTATTAGATATATCACACAGTCTGTAAAACAGTATTATTACATACTGGATGACAAGTTTTCGAACAAAATTCATCATTGTTCATAATCATATCAATTGTAATCACACGACCTTGAGACTTGAGTTTTATAGTTTTCTTTGTTTTCTCCAATTTGTTGTAGGGATAGTAGAATTTTCCAGATATTTGGGACAGGTGATGATTCATTCCTACAACATGTATTTGCAGTTGATTCGACAAACAAAGCCTCTGTTATCAATCTCTTCCTATACCCTGTGACATTAAATTTTCAAACTGTCATTCTATTCCATCCTATTGTATGGTTGTGTGTAACTGCATGTAGTGCTATAGCTGAACTATTCTCTAGATTTCTTACCCTATTTCGATCAACCAACCTAGACTTCACTAAGTTTTTATGTTCAGCTAGTCTGACTGCCCCTGTTCTACTAGTTTGACCTATGCATTTGACCTGACAATCATTGAAGGCAGGGTATTAGATAAACTTAATCGTTTTGTTTTAAAGGCTCCACAGGATGCTTTCACCGACAAAGCTTGTTTCTAATTGAGAATAGTTCAGCCACAGCACTACATGCAAATACACACAACCATACAATAGGTTGATGGGATAAGATGACAGTTTTAAAATCTAATGTCACAGGGTGGAGGGAGACATTGATAACAGAAGCTTTGTTAATCGAATCAACTGAGAGAGAATACGTGTAACAGGAATGATTCAACATCTGTCCAGCCAGATATCTGGAAAATTGCACTACCCCAACGATGAGAAATAGGATAGAACAAAGAAAACTTTAAAACTCAAGTGTCAAAGTCGTGTGATTACAATTGATGATATGATTATGAACAATGATGAATTTCGTTCGAAACCTTGTCATCCAGTATGTAATAATACTGTTTCACTGACTGTGTGATACATCTAATAAACAAACTAATATGGAAAATGTAACAACTGCTTCCGAAAATTCAAAGCTCCAGCTTGAATCTACATGTTCCTTCACGGGAATGTTCAGGAATAAATATCATGGACGCATAACTGTAGATCCTGATGACGAGTAAGCGATTATCGAAGACAATATGCATTGTGTATTATTTATCACAATCTTTTCGTGTTCATAGCACACATCTTGAATAAACAGAAAGAAGGATAAAACGTTGAAATGCAAAGTATCAATCACTTACCAGTATATGTGTTGTTTGTGTTTCTTGTGGATCATAAACTTCATCCGGTTGACCTGAACCATATGAACAAAATGAGAATAATTCATCACCATCGTCTGGATGACATGAATCACCGCCTACAACGAATACAGATGATGGTAGCCCCCCACAGTAGACTTCACGATATGGATCATGTCTAGCCAACCAACGTAACGGCATAAATAGTAAACTTGATAAAATAAATAATACTGCACAGATATAAAAGGCTAGAATGATACGCATTGTACAATCTTTATGAAATGCTAACGCCGGGGAAACGTCAGGTGTGAAGGCAGGTGAAGAGAGGACCACAGAGGAGGAGGAAGATGATGAGGTTTCAAAACATCTACGACAAGCTTGATCAATGAAAAATCCTGTAAAATCAACAAATAACAAAAATTAATAGTGAGATGATTTAGCATTGATAGAATTTGGGATTTTACTAAATTGTAAAGTTTCCTGGCAAAAATCAAAATGACACCATTTATATTATTAAAACAATTACATACTGTGGATTCATGTGCGTCGGTGGCACAGCGGTAGAAAGCTCGCCAACCACACGCCTCATGTGCTCCGGGGTTCGATCCCCGACCACTGATGAATTCTCCTCCTTTACCTGGCTACTCTAGTATTAGGAAAGGCAAAGAGGGGAGGTTGCGCATGAGGCTGGGTAGCAACCACATCCTGTAAAAATAAACACCCCTGCTAGAGAAACTTCATGGGCCTGTAGCTTGAAGCCCTATGTTCCGCTGGAGGGGAACGTAAAGGAATAAAAAAACACAAAAGGTTCTGTGGATTCAAACTGCTGTAGTTGTTGATCATCATGAATTCACAAAAGGCATAATTTTCAAGAGTTTTCTTTTTGTACGCATCCAGTTTGTTTGAATTTTGATCACAGACTAACAATCACAGTAAGAGAACCATTGAAAACCAGCAGGGAGTAGTGGACATCCAGCTGTTTCGTCACTTTAGTTCGAGACTCTTCAGAATTGCACACCCTCCACAGAAGAAGGTTCAAACTCAGGACCTTCTGGTCACAAGGCGACCTCATAGACTATTTAACCAACAGACCTCGGACTCAATAGCCAGTCTGTAAATTCTAACTTCTATTATTATTATTATTATTATATCTTTTAATTCCTAGAGGAACATAGGGCTTCACCCGCGCGTCTCCATTGAGTTCGGTCCTCTGCTAAAGTTTTCACCTGGCTCCAAGTCTGCCCACATGCTTTTATCTCCTCTTTACATCACCTCCTCCAAGTCACCCTTGCACTGACGACCAACTCGCCACTTCTATTTCGGGTTCCACTCGAGCAATGGCTTGTCTAGTGATGTCACTTGATGGTTTCCTCAGAGTATGGCCAGCCAATCCATCTCCATTTCTTCCTGCCTATTTGTTTCACAATCGGTTCCTGCTCGGTTGGTTCGTTCATTGCCAGAGATCTCTGTTGCTGATCTTTTCTGGCCGGCCGGCCATCTGATCTTGAGCGATGTATTGAGCGAAGACAACTGTCAATGAAGGTCTGTAGTTTGTTTGAGGTGCTCTTTATGACGCGCAGTGCAAGTCTCTCATCCGTATAGTGAGTAGCACTGACTGACTTCACATTTGAGTTGAAAATCCGGATCTTATTTCTCATGCTGAGGGAATAATACTAGTAGTAATTACAAAATCAATCAATCACCACTAATTATTATTACCACCACTGTGAAACTGGAATATTATTGGTGTTTTTACTCAGTCAATGTTAACTCAACAACCAGTGGGAGTGCCAATCAATCGGCAACAAAACATACCTAATATATGAGAACCGTTACTACACACACACACACACACACACCTCGGTAAGCAGGATTCAAGCCAGCTAGCTTCATTATAATTATTACAATTATTGCACAATCATTGATATTTTAAGATTTCATCATGAGCTGACATCGATTGGAGAACCAATATGAAACCATCTTCATCAGATAGTACTGGAAAGCTGCTTCCTCAGTCTAGTTTGATACTCTTCATCATCAGTTCACAACCATCACAGGAGGAGGTTCAAACCCAGGAACTTCAGGTTACAAGGCGAGTTCGTTGACCACCGGTCGGTCGGCCGGTTTTCGACATAGAACTTTGCACATATGTGCGGCAGTTCAAGTCGCCACACTCCCTCATTGTAGCACACAAAGCAAGAGAAGAAAGTAGGAGAAATGCATATTAGAGACAGTAAACAGAGGTGTGAGACAAAGGAATAGTAATAACGAAGAACAAAACAGTTTCATTGGAAATCATGAGTCACAAGGATTGGATGCATCTGTGCTAGCCATTGACAACGATTTTGAGCCATGTGACCAATTGTTTCCAACCATTGGGTTTTACCGTCAGGAAGCTAGTCTACACCTTCCTACGTGGCTGATTTAAACTAACTGTTGTGGATTTCATTGACTGATGAAGCCATGTTTTCGTCTGACCACCACTAACTAGCTCTTTTCCAGCCTCACCCATTCTGCATCAGCTAACGTTTCCCATCGAGGAAGGCGATGACTTGGCATGAATACGTAACACATGTCCTAACCATCTCAGTCGATGTAATTTCACAGTCTCGTCGATCGGTTTCCCCTTCTTATCTAGCACTCGACGCCTAACCTCAATATTGCTCACCTTATCATACCACTTCACGTGGGAGATAGAACGCAGACACCTTTGATCAAAGACAGCTAATCTTTTCATGTCTTCCACTCTCAATGGTCAGGTCTCACAGTCATAGAGGAGGACGGAGCGGACTGCTGAGTAGTACACCCACCCTTTGGTCGATATCTAGTTGTATATCACGTCTACGCCAGAGACGGCGTGAACTAGCATATGCGAAACTAGCCCTCTATATCCGTGCTGAGATTTCGTCAGAGATCAATCCGTTGACACTGGCTGATGGTACTTCTCAAATAAGTGAAGCGGTCAACGTGCTTTACCACTTCACTTCCTATTTCTAATCTAGGGGTCGGTGTAGTCCAATCCTGCCCAATCCACCGAGCCACTAGAACCCTACCCAATGCTCACCCCATGAATTCCAACTTTTACCTACTCATGATATAGCGTGACCACTACACTAGCCAAAGTCATCAGAGACGAGTATTAATCCTCACATTCAACTTGATGTACTCCACTGGTCAGGACTTCTCACTAGATAGAGGTCACGTGACTACACACCTAAGTGAATAGCGCAAGTTGGGTGTGTGAAGACAAATACTCGCCAACACCGATGACCTTGGCTTGTGCAATTCGCACTATGCCATGAATTGATGCAAGTTAGAACTCATGGACTGACCATTCGATGGAGTGTCCCGGGGGCTGCTTAATGATTTATGCATTCGCCTTGTAACCAAAGCGTCCTGGCTGGATTCAAACCCTGTTTGTTGGTGAGTAAGTAAGTAAGTAAGCGAGTAAGTAAGGCGATGCACCAGCCGTGTCCCGTTCTCCTTACAGGTTTTTCAATAGTGCTCCGAACAAGGTCAGTTGATGATGTTGAAATCCTGTAACCAATTATAAATCCCTACAAGCCAACACTAGGTGCGTCGGTGGCATAGCGGTTAGGACGCTCGTCGACCATACACCTGGTCTGGGGTTCGATCCCCGGCCACAGACGCACTCCTTTACCTCGCTAAGCCAGAAATAATGCTGGTGAAGAGGAAAGGTTGGACATGAGGCTAGCAACCCCATGCTGTAAAATAAACACTGCTACAGAAACTTCAAGCCACTAGCTTGAAGCCCTATGTTCCACTGGGGAACGTGAAGGATAAAAAAAAAGCCAACATTAGATGTGATATTTTGATTTAATAATTAATTAAAAAATTTTTTTTCAAAAATAACATGTATTTTCACTATAACATGTTAGTGTTTTGTTTCACCTGAGTTGACCTGTTACATTATTTATGTAACCTGACAGACAAGAGTCTGTCTATAAGTGTTATTCAACAGACAAATTTTTGTTATAATTACTATTGTTATTATTATTATTACAACTATAATAGTCTGATGAATGAGCAAACCAAAAAAATGTTTTCAAAAAAATTTACAGACAGAAAATATTCGTGTATATTTTCAAGAGTTGATATTGTTAGGATTTGATTTGTGTTTTTATAAGTTTGACCACAGATTGAAAACTGCCCAGGGAGTACTGGATAGTTGACGAAATCTCAGCACGAATACAGAGGGCTAGCTTCGCATATGCCACTTTATGCTGTCTCTGGCTTAGTAGACGTGATATCCAGCTATCTACTAAAGGGCGTGTGTATTGCTCAGCAGTCCACTCCGTCCTCCTTTATCACTGTGAGACATGGCCATTGAGAGTGGAAGACATGAAAAGATTAGCTGTCTTCGATCATAGGTGTCCGCGTTCTATCTCCCGCGTGAAGTGGTATAATAAGGTGAGCAATATTCAGGTTAGGCGTCAAGTGCTAGGTAAGGAGGGAGGAGAAACCTATCGACGAGGCTGTGAAATTACATCGACTGAAATGGTTGGGACATGTGTTACGTATGCCTAGTGATCGCCTTCCTCGACAATGGGCAATGTTAGCTGATATAGGGTCAGGCTGGAAAAGAGCTAGCGGCGGTCAAACCAAAACATGGCACCAGTCAATGAAATCTACAACAGTTAGTTTAAGCCACGTAGGAAGGTGTAGACTAGCTTCCTGACTGGGGTCCTCGGGACGGTAAAAAGCATTGGCTGGAAACAATTGGTGACATGGCTCAAAATTGTTCTCAATGGCTAGCGCAGATGCATCCACTCCTTGTGACTCATGATTTCCAATGAAACTGTTTTGTTCTTCGTTATTACTATTCCCTTGTCTCACACCTCTGTTTACTGTCTACATTATGCATTTGTCCTACTTTCTTCTCTTGCTTTGTGTGCTACAAGGAGGGAGTGTGGCGACTTGAATTGCGGCACATATGTGTAAAGTTCTATGCCGAAAACAGACAGACAGACAGACTTTAGTCTGGGACTCATCGGAGGTTCTCTAATTTACATCAATCTCTCGTCTAACTCAAAAAACAAATTAAATCCTTACAAACCAATTTCTTGAAAATTATTCTGATGCTCGCTAGTTACTTGTTATATAATGGAGTTTCCTGAAGTTATATTAGTGAGAAGTCGTCACCAGTGAGGTATCCATACAGTCCGAAGTGAGGATGGAATTCTCACTGAGATGATATTGGTTGGTGGTCGTGTTAAATAATCATGAATTGGTAGAATTTATAATTTAACCATATATGTGCAAACCAAGTTCACTTTTAACGGTTTGAAATAGGAATAAAAGTGGCATTCAAACCCACAAACTCAACTGGAAACAAGCTTCGTCGGTTAAAGGATCCTGTAGAGCCTTTAAAACAAAACAATTTAGTTTATCTAGTACCCCGCCTGCAATGATTGTCAGGTCAGATACACAGGTTAGAATAGTAGAACAGGAGCAGTCAGACTATCTGAACATAAAACGTAGCAAATTCTAGATTGGTTGATCCAAATAAGATAAGAAATCTAGGGAATACGTCAGCTATAGTACTCACTACATGCAATTACACACAACCATACAATAGGATGGGATAGGATGACAGTTTTAAAATCTAATGTCACAGATTGGAGGGAGAGATGGATAACAGAAGCTTTGTATATCCATTCAACTGCAAACACATGTATTAGGAATGATTCATCACCTGTCCCCGATATCTGGACAATTCTACTACCCCTACAACAAATAGGAGAAAACAAAGAAAACTATAAAACTCAAGTGTCAAAGTCGTGTGATTACAATTGATTGATATGATTATGAACAATAAATTTTGTTCGAAACTGTGTCATCCAGTATGTAATAATACTGTTTCACCGTGTGATATATCTAATAAACAAACTAATATGGAATTACCTACTACCACAACGCCCAAGTTTTACACATATAATAATGCGCCAAAGTAGTAGGATGACGTCAGTTAGCTTAGCAGAGCAAGTAAAACTAGTAAAATCTAGATTAATTGTTCTTAATCAGATCATAAGAAATCTGGAGATGACAGTCATCGAATCTAACATTGAAAGCTCCCTGAGTTCCTGACTTTCCAATTCATAAGCGAATTGAATTGCCTACACCTTGAGTTAATGTGTTCGAAAAATCTACCTATATCCTGTGTTCTGAGTACAGTGAATGTCTCACCTACACACCTCCACCATATGTTGTTAGGTGTGTGGCTGAACGTTTCAATCGCTATGTTTTTCCACCTATCCATGAATATATCTACCATAACCGGGGATATTGATGACCCCATGGTAACCCCCTCAGTTTGTTTGTATATTTTACCCTAGAGCTGAAATACTGTGGAAGTCAGGCATAGCTGCACTCTCAGCGCTACGTCCTCAAGTGGAGAGCTTCCAATGTTAGATTGTAGCGTAAAAAGGAAAATTGGTGGAAAGTTAAACACATATTGCAGTGTTTACAGAAAACCTACACATTCAAATCGATATTTGGATTTCTGATCATCCGAGGTTATCTATGTCAGTTAAAATAGGAATGGAGAAATGTTGAAGTAATAGAGAACAGAAACTAAGTAGTACCAAGGAAAATCCAAGACAGGAAGTCAGACTAGCGGAGCATAAAATCCAGCAAACTCCAGACTAATTGACCCGAATAAGCATAAGAAATCTGGAGAATAGTTCAGCCGTAGATAGCACATGCACTACATGCAATCACACACAAACATACAATAGGATCGATGAGACAAGATGACAGTCTTAAAATCTAATATAAGAACATGGAAGGATAGATTGATAACAACGGAAGCTTTATCTATCGAATCAACTGAGAATACGTGTCTACAGATGTGTCACAACCTGGACATCTGGAAAATTTTACTACCCCTACAACAAATAAGGGGGAATAAAGAAGTTGTGTGATGATTATGAACAATGAAGGATTTTGTTCGAAACCCTGTCATTCAGTATGTAATAATACTGTTTCACACTGTGTGTGTGTGTGATATATCTAATAATTGCTCAGTCAATATACATATATAAGTGATAAGAATAACGATAATTAAAATGTTATAAGGGGTAGAGTTGAAGTGGATAAATTACATAATTATTAAAGATTGTTTTATAAGTGAATTGAAATCAAAAATGTTTTTAAAATGTCAGGTGTTGTCTAAAAATTTTAAAAAATTAGGAGTACGATTACAATAAGAATGAAGATGTGAAGTGAAGTGGAAAGAATTCAAGTGGTAAAATAAAATAAAGTAAAAACTAGAAAGAACATTACTATGACCAAGGTAAAGAAAGGGATTTGACAAAACGTTTTTGAACACATAATTTAGGTTTCTGTTCATGTATAGCTAAAGCTTCGGCTATGCATAAGTGAAGAAAACGTAAACTTTTGGATCGATTCGATTTTGCCATGTAGATAACTTTGAAAGATGAATCACGTGGGGCTAAATGACCTGACTCTAACAGGTGATCACTAATAGACGACTTCGCAGTTCTACGTTCGCCTTTCATCAACCAGACTGGATAGTGTTCAGCTACACGTTTTCGGAGATTGCGCTTACAACGTCCAATATAAACGGCTCCACAAGAGCAGGTAAAAGAGTAAATACACATGGATGTGGACAAAAGCGGTAATCTATCCTTGACGTATTGTCTAATCATATTTCGGCTGGTAAAAACTAGTTGTAAGTCAGCTGCAGGAAAAGTGCGTTTAATGCATTTAGATAAACGATTTTAAATCAATTCAGAAATGGTGTCACCTTTGAATGCCAGACTCATAAACAGTTTTTTCTTTGGCATTGTGATTTGTCTAGGGGCGGATTCTTTCTTCATGTTACGTTCGATAAACCCTGTAGGATAACCATTGTTAAGGAGATTTGATCGAACGTTATCTAATTCACTATCGATTGTCTCTGCAGAGCAGATTTTACGAATTCTGGAGCATAAGGAATGAATAAGATTTCTCTTTCTCCCTAACGGTACCCAACTGTTGAAACTAGTGTACTGCCCAGTGAATGTTGGCTTTCGGTAAATCGACCTTAACAGTGTACCGTTCTGTCTTCTATCTAGCTTAACATCAAGGAAGTGAAATGAGGAATTCGACTCTTCTTCGACCGTGAAAAGCAAAGATGGGTGAGAACCACTTAATAACCCTTTTTGTAATATAAACACGACTGTACAGCTTGAAAATGAAGTCGTTGAAAAGAAATTTCTTCGCTGAACAACAAACTGTGTTTTTACTTATGAATAAATGGGTAGTTTTCGTGATATATCTAACAGACAAATTCATATGGAAAAACTGTACTTTATAAGAGTTAAATAATGGCGACAACACTAACCGAATAATGGAGGTCCACAAATGACACCAAGACCTTGAAAGATAAGTAGATAACCAAATGCATTTGTCAGTCGACGTAGACCAAATAACTCGACAAGTAGGACACTTCTGAGGGAAATAGACATAGCTAATACAAAAAGAAAACAAAAAACAAATAAGAGATGAAAAAACCAATTAAATTTCAATAAACCATGTTAAATATATGATTTCCAGTGTCAAAGTGTCACACAATAAATGTTAATAATTATTAGTATGACCATGGACACCAATCCTAAGCCAATCCTAGAAACTTACTGCTTTACAACTATACAAAGACAAATTGAAGAAGAAAAATCGACAGACTTGAGAGTAATGAAAGCATGTCCTGCTTTCCCGATGGACCTCACTGCTTTGATATCCTCGTCAGTTCCGTCAGGCTATAGTTGAAATGATGCTTCTCACGTAGGTCGGTAGGTAAAAAGGAGGTAGCTCCTTCCAAATTTCTCCCATTCATGCTGGCTGATTGTTGTTGCTGATGTCGGCCAGGAATCTTCATCACCTCTATTTTCTCTATGTTCACCTGAAGGATGTCCTATCTTCTCTGGATGCTTCATCTGCCAACTTGTTGCTTTTCGCTTGCATATATTCCAGTTTGTGAGAAATCAGACATATATAATCGGCAAAGTCTAGATCCTGCAAGTTATTTGTGTGAGTACATTTTATGCCTGTTTCCTCGCTGCCCGCTGTCTGTCGCATTATCTAGTCTACCGTAATCAGGAAAATCATTGTAGATAATATGCAGCCAGCTTTTCTTACTCTCGTCTTCACTTCGGAGGATTCCGTGAGTTGCCTGTTGTGGTTCACTTGGAATGCAGCACTGTCGTACAACTGTTGGATGAGATGTATAATTGTCAGTGGCACCCCGTAGTAGCGAAGTAGTTGCCAAAGCACCTCTCGATCGATGCTGTCAAAGGCCTTTTCGAAGTCAATGAAGTTGAGGTAGAGCGAGGTGTGACTACCATTCCAAGCTCTGTTCAATGATGATCCGTAGGTTAGCGATGTGATCGATGCATGACTTGTTTCTACTGAATCCAGCCTGTTCCGGCCGAAGTTTTTCATCCAAGGCGCGCTTGATTCTCTACAGGGTGAAGAGGCTTAGTATTTTGCTTGAAATGGACAGGAGCATAATTCCGCACCAGTTCTTACATTGACCTAAGTCTCCTTTCTTTGGCAGTTTGAGTGAATAGCCTTTCTTCCAATCGGTAGGTACCTTGCCCTCTTTCCACACCTTCTCCAGTAGTGGTGTCATCAAGTCCTCTGATGTCTTGAGGTTCATTCTTAATGCCTCTGCTGGGATTCCGTCTGGTCCTGCTGCTTTTCCAGTTTTTTTGGCATCTTAATTGCCTTCAAGATTTCTGTTCTCGCCGGATGGTCGATGTCCATTGGTAGTTCTGCTTTCGCTGTTGATAGTATTGGGCGCGTTGTAGGTGTCAAACGATGAGTTCTCTTCCTGTGTTGTCTGCTCTTAGTTTGGCGTTCATGTCTCCTATTAGTATTTAAATGTCATCGACTGGAGTATTGTCCATTGTTGCCTGTAGAACTCTCCTTTCTTTTCGAGGTCTGCGTTGTTTGTCGGTGCATAGCATAGCATTGTATAACTGACACTTTCCTTCCTTTGAATTTGAAGACTATAAAATCAGTGTAACAAGAGAATCTATGAGTTCATTTTGTCTGAGTATGTTTTGATATTATTTCAAATAAATTTATCCAATATAGAAGAATATTTTGTTTTGCAGTGATGATGTATAAGCTCATAAAAAATTTGTTTTGTATTTTTTTGGCAAAATTATTTTTCTCCTCTTTACAATTGTGAAATTGCTGGAATTAACAGAACAACCAATCAGTTAAGTTTATACTTGCCGTATATATAGCATAAACATAAACCATGCAGTATCGATTACTGTTAGACGCGAATCGAAACAACAACAAAAATCAATACACCCATCTGTTGATATATTAGACGACTGAAGGCAATTGGGAGGAGGAAGCTTTGCATCACGCGTATGTGTTTAAAAACATTTTGACGCACACTAGCCAGTGTAAGGCGTATCTCTGCAGTTACCTTGAAAGAACTCATATCCCTTTTGAGAATAAAAAACCTGTATCACTCAGTGCTTCACATGGAGTCGGAGATGTTATCACTGAGTAAATTCAGCCTCGTGATTGACCGCCAGTAAGACTGTATTGGATTATTTATTAATAATAACAACAATAATAATAATCTACTTTATTCGAAAAACAGTACTTATAATACACAATGGAATTCTCATCACTCATCACAATATTCCATCTGATTTACTCAAAATAATTAAAAAAATAAAAACAAAATTAACCAGAGGAATTTGTTTACGTTTACGATATAAAGTCAAAAATATTCGAAGTACAAAATGAGAATAATAAATATATTAATAATAATAATAATAATAGTAAGTTTATTTCAAAGAGTATTGTCGACTCAGTTTGGGAATTTTAGCATGTTATGGATTATTGGATCTAATGTTCTGTTGATATAGCAGCATGCTGAGGGGAAATACAAAATTAACAGTTATAACACAGCTCAAATGATGTTTACACTTATGAAAAAAATAAACAAAAACAAAATATTGAGAGGATTAAAAATATAAGAAATACAATAACAATAAAGTTTGATGTTGTAAGGGTGGAGGAAATGGTTAATTTACCAGTGTACAGAAGGTTAGTTTTTTTCTTCCTTCACGTTCCCCAATGGAACATTGGGCTTCAAGCTAGTAGCTTGAAGTTTCTGTAGCAGTGTTTATTTTACGGGATGGGGTTGCTAGCTTCATGCCCAACCTTTCCTCTTCACCAGCATTATTTCTGGCTGGCTTAGCGAGGTAAAGGAGTGCGTCTGTGGCAGATGATAGAACCCCGGACCACGTGCATGGTCGGTGAGCGTCCTAACCGCTATATCACAGACGCACTAAGAAGGTTAGTTAGTTCATGCTTAACATTATTTTCATCATATAAAGTAAGTGCCAAATATGATATAGTGGAATTTTTATACTCAGGCGTACGTGCATAAAGTCTTGTGAAAAGACTTCTTGTTTTACCTGAGAAGACACAAGGTTGGAGCTGCGGTTACGTAAAGTGGATGCTCACAGTCTGACAAAATTCCTTTAGCGAATTTGTTGCATGAAATCAAGTGCCTATCAGTGACAATGTCAACGATATGGTTCAATGGGTTCACTCGCCCCACTGACAGTCTTCAGAGTTCTACGAAATATGACATAGTCTTTTTTAAGCAATCCAGAAAAGAATAAGTAATGGTGAGCAGTAAAGAAGAACAGGGTAATAAGAGACTAATTAGTTTACAACAACCCATAGAGATAATAACAGTACAAATGACCTTGGTAGGAAGTTGGTCGAAGATGCCCAACAGTTAGTACTAACAAGGCTGATAGAATAGAAAACAGTAAACTGGGCAACTTTATTCAATGACCACTGTTAACGATCATCAATGGGTAAGTGAAAGTCTAAGACTGCAACGATATCAGTCCAGGTACACAGAAAACGTTTATTATTACTATTTATTATTGTTCCCTTGGGTTCCTAGTGGAACATAGGGCTTCAACTGCACGTCTCAACTTGCTTCTATCTTCTGCCGTACTTTTCACCTGCATCCATGTTAATCCATACTGTTTCAACTCCTCTTCACACGATCTCCTCCATATCACCCTTCGACGTCTCAATCGCCTCTTCTCTTTTGGGTTCCACTGGAGAACTGGCCTGAGGTGTGGTGTCATCCAGCGGCCTCCTCAGCGAGTGTCCAATCCATCCATCTCCACTTTCTCCTGCACATTTGTTGTCGGGCGATTGGTTCTTGTTTTGTTTGTTCCCATAGTTTCTTGTTGGTGATTCTTTCAGGCCATCTGATCTTCAGTATAGAGCCAGCGAAGACAGTTGTTGATAAAGGTCTGCAACAGGCTGTTGGAAATATTCTTTGTGACCCGCCACCAAGTTTCTGATCCGTATAGAAGAACTGACTGACTTGACGTCTGTATTGAAAATCCAAATTTTGTTGTTGATGCTGAGTGAGTGACGAAGATTTCCAGATTGGTTTCAGGTGGATGAACGTTTACTGCATAACTAATCTAATGGTATCATAAAATATCTATGAAACATCAAAACCTTTTGGACAGTTAGACTGTCCATAGTTTTCAGCACTTTCACAACTTACCAGTAGCTAAACCGTAAAGAATACCACCAAAATATAATAATTGACGTCGAAATTTTAAAGTCCAAATTTGCAATGCACGATGAGATGACGATGATGGCGATGATGATGGTGATGCTGATGGGAATCTTTCTGAAGGTGGCGTTTGTACAATACCATGAATAGCTAACGGGAAGGCAATGACTGATAGCCCACACAGGATTAATGCAACATTGTTCAAAAGCATAGGATCTACTAATCGCGGACATTGACGTAATAATTTTCGATTTGTGTTCAATCCTTTCTCAATATACAATCCTATATATAAATAAACAGTAATAATTGACAAAGAAAGACAATAAATAACACGAGATTAGATTATAATAATAAAAAATATTATTTAATATAAAATGCATTTTCAACACAAATGTCAAGTCGGTCCTTCCATACGAGTTCAAAACTTGCGAGGGTTTCACGGAAAGGATTTTCAGCATGCTGTTGTAGACTTTCCTACTCACAACTGCCTTAGCTGGGTCCATACTGAAGATCAAATGGCCAGCTGGCAAGAAAGCATTAGTAACAAGAAACCCTGACTGTAAACGAACCAACCAATGAAGACCCAATTACTCAACAAATATGATGAATTTTTTATAGTTTTGGTTTGTAAGGATTAGTTATGTTTTACGAGTTGATCACGGACTGATCAACTCGTAAAACATAACTAATCCTTACAAACCAAACTATAGAAAATTATTCTGATGCTCGCTAGTGACTTGCTACAGGTTGGAGCTTCCTGGAGTTCTAGTGAGAAGTCGTGACCAGTGAGGTTCAATTAGAAGTCACGTGTGTGGATGGATGTCCCACCAACGACAATAGTTGGGGTCGCGCTAAAATCACGAATTGGTAGAAGTTAGAATTCATGAGCCATTGAATCGGGTCCCAGTGGCTGAATGGTATACTAGCTTGCCTTGTAACCGGAAGGTCCTGGGTTCGAATCCCAGTGGGTGCGTACTGCCGATGATTCCCAAACTAGGATGAAACAGCAGCTGTCCAGTACTCCCTGGTTTTCAATGGTTCTCTAACTGATATCAGTCCGTGATCAACTCGCAAAATATAAAGAAAATGGAAATGGATCGCGAATACATACATTGAGCAAAACCATCGAATGACATCACCCACAATGCAGGATATCACTCGAATGGAATCCAAATGGGGAGCGATGAGTGGGTCGTCAGTGCAAGGTTGAGACTGAGGAGATTGTTTGGAAAGGAAGAGATGAGAAATTGTGGGCAATTGTGGTCCAAGATGAAGAGGACGGTAGAAGATAAGACAAAGTGGAGGTGTGCTGTTGAAGCCCTGTACTCCACTCGGAACCCAAGGGAACAATAATAATAATAATTTCAAATAAAAAAATAATTCCGGTATATTTTGTGAAGACAATTCTTTATCTACTACTTTTATACTACCAGATACAATACACAGAAAGAAAGAGAGGGATGAATAGGGTACACTCTGGGGAGATAGGAGTACCAAACCTACAATTGGAATGCTGAATATCGTGAAGGTGTCTGAGAGTGACATGGTAGAAATGGTATATCAAGGAGAAATGGAATCTTCCGGACACTGATGTAAGCATAGAACTTGGGCACTGTGGTAGAGCATAACTCCATTATGATATAGAACTTTGTACAAATGTGCACCACTTCGAGTTGCCACACTCCCTCCTTGCAAAACAGAGACGGTGAACAAAGATATGAGGCAAAAAGAATAGTATTACCGAAGAACAATATAGCTTTTATTGGATATTATCAGTCACAAGGAGTGGAAGCATCTGCAACAGCCATTGAGAACGATTTTCAATCATATCACCAATTACCTGCCTACAGCCTCCATTGGTTCTTGGAATCCCAAAGACCCCAAACAGGAAGCTAGTCTACACCTCGCTATGTGGTTGGCTGGCTGGATTAAACTAACTGTTACGCATTTCATTGACTGATGAAGCCGTGTTTTGTTTGAAACACCATGTGCTGGCTCTTTTCCAACCTGACCCATCCCATATCAGTCAGCTAAAATCACCAGTCAAGGAAGACGATGGCTAGGCATGCATGAGTAACCCATATTCTAACCATCTCAGTCTGTGTAACTTCACAGCCTCGTTTATTGATTTCCCTTCCTTACCTAACACTCGACACCGAAACTTAAATATAATTCACCCTATTACACCTACCGACTAACACAGGAGATAGAACCCAGGCACTTATGATTGAAGACAGCTAGCCAGCATCTTCATGTCTTCCACTCTCCTCTATGACAAGGTCTCACAGCCATAAAAGAGGACAGATAGGACATGGATTTCATCTTACTCGTTCGAGAATTGAATTATATATATATATATATATATATATACATATTCGTTAAACAATCACCAAGAGTGTGATTTTGGCTTACAATAAACGACATGAAATAGAATGTTCAAATGCATGTATAGTATTCTCTTGCTTATGCAGTATTTAACTGTGGATATATGTGAGAACAATATTCCATTGGAGCACATCACCTGGATCACACCACCACTACCAGCACACCAGTAGGTTGGATTAGCAGGCTAGAAATCAGGAGTGATTTTCTTCTCATTCAGCTGTCTTGCTTAACTGAGTCACACCGAGTAATACCAATGATCAGTTCAACCCCAATAACAATCTAAACGACTATCCCGTGTTTAAATCATTTCAAGGATCTGCGAGGCGGGGAGGGGAGGCGGCTAGCTAGGAAGCACTACTATTCACCGCGGTATGACTGCTTGATACAACTACTCGTCTCCACAAATTAGTAGTATATAGTTATACGCATTTAAGTGCGTCGGTGGCATAGCGGTTAGGATGCCCACCGACCATGCACATGGTCCGGAGTTCGATCCCCGGCCACAAGACGCACTCCTTTACCTCGCTAAGCCAGCCAGAAATAATGCTGGTGAAGAGGAAAGGTTGGGCATGAGGCTAGCAACCCCATCCTGTAAAAATAAACACTGCTACAGAAACTTCAAGCTTGTAGCTTGGAGCCCTATGTTCCACTGGGGAACGTGAAGGAAAAAACACTCATTTAAGATGACGTCTTTACTTCCCCTTAAATATATTTATATACATATATGCATAAGTCATGTGAGGCAACGAATAAAATACAATTCAACATCATACCCAAATTTTTGATAAATGCTGGAAAAGCAAACAAAGAAGAAGATATTCAGATACACTCACACACACATACACACACTAAAACTAGTCAATGTCGACAAGGAATTGAAGGTCATTGCTATCAGCCAACCAATCATCACTGTCGCTAGCTAGTCACAAGCTGGCCTAGTTTCATACCATAACAATAATAATAATAATATAATGCCAGTCAGTGATCATGACAAAAATCAAGTTTTCTGTTTGCTTATCCTCTTCCATTTTTATTTTTGTGAGCGTAAAAGAAAGACAAAAACAAACACAACAACACAAAACAGGACAAGACAAGCATATTACGCAATAAATATAAATCATCTGTCCTATATTATGTGTAAGGCATATTGAAGCGCGTCACTGAATAAAGGACGCGCACATGACACAATATTACATTATTAATAATAATAATAACATATTTGGAATAAATTAAAAGACACATATATCATATCAACAGAATATGTGAAAATGGATTCATATGAACAAATAAAAATATTTAAAAAAAAAATAAGCATGTATACATCTATTTGCATATTTGCATAATTAGATGTCTAGGCCTTCAATCATTCAAAGGAGAAATCATCAACAGACAAGTTCAACAATGAAATCAGGAGGAAGGAGAAAAAGATTATGACAGCCACGATGATATTCTTGGCAGAAAAACATACACAGTATCTCTAGGGATTTGATTGAATTCAGTTAGAAAACCATTAGAAATTAGGGTCTCATCAGCAGAATGCACCAATGATCCCAATGGGCATTGAATCTAAGGCCTTCAGGTGATGTGTAAGCAGTTCTTGATATGAGATGATTGGAGGAAAGAAAGGAAAGGAAGCCTTGCCTGACATCTAGGTTTCGTGCTAGTTGACACTTACCAGTCAACTAGCGAAGCGTATTTGCAATCTGAAAGAAATTTATGTTCCGTCCAAAAATAGAAGCAACTTCAGTCAAAACAAAGGACTAGACACATTATACAAGTTACAGTCTGTTGTGTCCAATCAAAATAACCAATACGGTCTTACAGGAGATCAATCGCGAGTCTGAATAGCTCATTGGTAACGTCTCTGACTGCACAAGGCTGCACTGGGTGATGCGGGTTAGAATCTCAGAAGGCACATGAATACCTTCAAGGTTGCAGGATAGGAAACCTAGGTCAAACAAGACTTTCTGTCCATCGCCTCCAACCACCTAACATATCAACTGTTCACAGTGCAGCGTGATGGTGAGCCACCTAATGGCATGGTGGGCACATTGCAAACTTGACTGAGTGACTGATGGAATTCAATCTGTATCAAACAACGAAAGGACTAGACACATTGTGCTATTCACTGTCGGATAAAAAGGAGGGGAGTTCACCGATCATTGAACCAGCAAGAATGCATCCAACGACCTATGAATTCCTATTTCTGTCAGTCCACGATTTTTAGCGGTGGTAAGCGAGTTCCACCAGATCAGGTGTGAGGGAAAATACTCATCGGTACAGATAACAGTGAGCACTTCAGAGAAATCCGAAACTAGGACAAAATAGTTGTCCAGAATTGCTGTACTGGTTTTCATTCATAAAGAGTATCTCAAACAAACTACAGACCTTCATTAACAGTTGTCTTCACTCAATACTCAAGATCAGATGGCCAGCCGACCAGAAAAGATCAGCAACAGAGATCTCTGGCAATGAGCGAACCAACACAGCAGGAACCGATTGTGAAACAAATAGGCAGGAAGAAATCGAGATGGATTGGCTGGCCATACTCTGAGGAAACAATGCATCAAGTGACATCACTAGACAAGCCATTGCTCGAGTGGAACCCGAAAGGGAAGCGGTGAGTTGGTTGGTCAGTGCAAGGGTGGGTGACTTGGAGGAGGTCATGTGAAGAGGAGATGAAAACGTGTGTGCAGACTTGGAGGCAGGTGAAGACTCTAGAGGAGAACCGAACACAATGGAGACGCACGGCTGAAGCCGTACGTTCCTTCAGGAATTAAAGGAAACAATAATAATAATATATATATATATAAATGTTAGTGAATAATTACCTGCAAATAAACGACCCAATATACTAGCACAACTAATTGTAAATAATAATAATTCCGTACTGACAAATGAATAATTCTTGTCAAAAGTATTAATATACTCGAGAAGTTGATGAAGAAGGCTATTATTCATTGTATTATCTACACGATTGCGATGAGTAATATTGCCGTCTGTTAATCCGGTTGGACACCATACTGAATTGATATGACATTCAACACCACCATAAGCCAATAATATAGGCAAATAATAAAATGGAACTAAAAGCACTGAAATAATTAATGAAAACAAAAAGCAAAAAAACAAAACAAAATAAGGATGAGACATTAATTAAACTGCAGAGAGAGGCATTGAAGTTATATGAAAGCAAGCATTGAACTAATTAGACAAATAATTATCCCTAAGAGATTTCAGTTAAAGCATCACAAACAGCCGGACAACTCTTTCGTCCAAGTAGAAGAAAAACAAACAAACAAAGAAGCAACAGAATTTAATTTGTAGATGGTGACTAGCAGTGGAATCCACGAAGATGCGCGTTTCGTCCTATTTGGGACTCGTCATCTGGATATACCTGCATTTCCCAGTGAGTTCCCAGTGATGTTCCCACCACTGAGGCTCGAACCCAGTGCCCTTAGTTTCAAACGAAATGCGCATCCTGGTGGATTCCACCACTGCTAGTCACCATCTACAAATTAAATTCTAATTAAATGCCCAGACATCGTTGAAGAATCTGCACAAGTAGATGACAGCCATGTCAACCTGGGACCGAGCACTTCGGTCCAATCAGTCGACGAGAAACTCTAAAATTCAATTAAAACAAACAACAGATTGAGTGACGGGATGGGCATATTCCATCACTTCAATTAGTTCGTCAATCATCGACTGGCTGGCTGGCTGCCTGGCTATACACCAATACAATTATGCCGTGTCTTCAAAACCAATCTTCCCCCACCCCATATATGTTGCGTTCTGGAGTAAAAGAGAAACTGCCTAATTTCTCCTCTTTTCATGAGTATCTATCAATTTTGCTGCTCCTGTGGAGTGAGCCAGTTGGTTGTATAGGCCGTACAATTAGGCGTGTTTCTCGTCGAACTTCTGAACATCACTCTGTGTGGTGGTTAACTAAAGGAGAAATAAAATCTCTTCACATAGCGCTACTCTTTCTCATCTTGTGGATACGGACAGAACACAAGATTGATGTTAACAAGGCGGCTTTCAAAGTCATTTACTGCATACCAACAAATATTAACTTTGTCTTAAGAGTTTGACTACTAAATATTGCTGAGGCTGTTAGGGATTTGTGCATCCAAAAGAAGCTAGTTCAGACATTGTCCTTACCTTGGCGAAAAAGGTACGAATGATCCTCAATTTCTTTTGTAGAAATTTTCCTAATTTTAGTTGATATTCTATTTGCTATTATATCTTTATTATTATTATCATAATTTGAGCATCTTTAATGAACTGTGATTCCGCTGCGATCTTACTTTACAAATCGATTATATTTATAAACCACTAATATTGTAATTGACTACTATTCTAGAATATTCTATGTATATAAACATGTGTAGATATAATCGCAGAGCCAAAACAAGAGGAAATTATCGAAAAGGATATTCTTTGCTAGCTCAATTATCCTGTGTTTTATAGATGTCTGAATGAATATTTTCGCAACATAGTTTTTTTATATCACATTTAGGTATAAGGATATGCGGTATGTTTTGCACTATGAACACTAGTCAGTAGCTAGTGTAATGTGTGCGTGTGTAGTCCTATCTTTGGTGCAGACTGAATACTATCAGTTGTGCTTCCAATGTGGCCACCATGCCATTAGGTGGCTCGCCATCACGGTGCACTGTAAATTGATGGTCTAAGATGGTTGGAGATGGGGTGTGAAATTAAGAAGTTAAAAGTCATCAAAACAATTAACTGCTAGATGTTGGTAACAAAACGTATCGGTTATGAAGGAGGGAGGGGTGAATACTAATTAAAGAATTCAAGATAATTTAATTCACAGGCGATAGCAACAAGTTATTACATAATCAAGAAATTCGTAAAATAGCAATGATTACTAAAAAAAAATGCAATAACTCAAAAGAATTATGCAAGATACAAACAAGTTAATAGAATTAGCAAGAATTATAAAAAATCAATAAAGTCAAAATATAGCTACAAGGTGAGGAGAGGCTACCATGTCAAACCATCAGAGAAGGGCGACTTACGACTCTACAATAACTGATGTGGAATCATGCTCTTGCCTACCCACGTCAAGCAAAATAATAAGTCGCATCATCCTGGAGAGAATAAAGAATGCACTGGATTCAGAACTCTGCCCACCAGTACAAGATTGGTTTCAGGAAAGGCAAATCTCATCTGCTGATCGAATTGTTACTCTACGCATCATCATCATCGAAAATATCCTAGGAAAGAATAGCAGTCAAACCTCTCTCTACCTCAACTTAATCGACTTCTAGAAGGCAAGAGCTTCGAGTGCATTGGCCGAGAAGTAATTCGAAAACTGCTTCAACACTATGGAGTGCAGTGCCCAAGTTTTCATCAACCTCATTTAACAGCTGGCTGTATGAAACAATGCCACGTGTCAGGTTATCCACAACGGAAACCTTAGTGAGGCGTACTAGGTGCATACAGGAGTAAGACAAGGCTTCCTAATTGTAGTGGACTGCAGTATAGCTAAGATCGTGCGTGTGTGTGGTTTAAGAAGACAGGAATACGTTGGACCGATAAGAGTACTCTAGAATATCTGAACTCCGCAGAAGATTTATGTATACTGTTACAGAAATTCGAAGACTAACAGACAAAACCAAACAAACTGGGAGAAGAGACAGGCAGCGAAGACAGAACTTCAAATGAACATGGAAGAGGACGTCAAAACCAGCCAGAATCGTAAAGGCAAGACAGAAATCACTTTAGAAATCTATTGTAGTCAGCATATAAGGAACAAAATTCGGATTCCCAACGTCAATGTCAAGTAGGTCAGTCAGTCAGACAGTTCTTCTATATGAGTGGGAAACTTGACTGATGCGTCGCAAAAAGCATTTAAAAAACAGGCCACTGCAGACTGTTATCAACAGCCTTCTTCACTGGCTCCATACTGAAGATCAGATGACCAACAGGCCAGAATGACGCTCCAAGAACGTATTACTCGATAAATAATTCCAACGAAAATGGAGATGGACTGGATACACGCTGAGAAGATTATCGGATGACGCAGTACTCCTGGTAGACCATCGCTTGAGTGGAACCGAAGTGGGAAATGACAAGTTTGGTGATCGTGTGAAGATGGATGAGAGCCGATGTCCAGTTGTAGGGCTAGCTGGAAAACGACTGCAGACAACACGACGGAGTGAAGATGCACTTTTCAAGCTCTAATATTAATACTGATGATTGGATAGTTGAGGTTTATGATGGCTGACAGGCATTCTACCTTCTTTGTGTACTGTATTGTTTTTATTCCCACAGTAGGCTGGATAATGCGACAAACAGCGGACAATGAGGAAACAGGCATAAAATAGACACACACAAAAAACTTGGAGGATCTGGACTTCGCCGATGACATGTAAATGTCTGATTTCCCACAAACTGGAAGATATGCAACCGTTAAGCAACAAGTTGGCACAAGAAGCATCAAAGATAAGACATTCTTCAGGTGAACATAGAGAAAACAGAGGTGATGAAGATTCCTAGACAACACCAACAGCAACAACAACATCAGACAACAATCAGCATAAATGGAAGGAAACTGAAAGAAACAACCTCCTTTACCACCAACCTGGGAAGCATCGTTCAACTACAGGCAGACGAAACTGACGAGGATATCAAAGCAAGGATCGGAAAAGCAAGACAAGCTTTCACTACTCTCAAGTCTGTGTGGAGGTCAACAGCACTGCTCAGCATCAAAATGAGAATAAGATCCGGATTTTCAACTCCAATGTGAAGTCAGTCAGTGCTGCTCACTATACGGATCAGAGACTTGCACTGCGCGTCATAAAGAGCATCTCAAACAAACTACAGACCTTCATTAACAGTTGTCTTCGCTCAATAGTTCGCTCAAGATCAGATGGCCAGCCGGCCAGAAAAGATCAGCAACAGAGATCTCTGGCAATGAGCGAACCAACACAGCAGGAACCAATTGTGAAACAAAAAGGCAGGAAGAAATGGAGATGGATTGGCTGGCCATACTCTGAGGAAACCATCAAGTGACATCACTAGACAAGCCATTGCTCGAGTGGAACCCGAAAGGGAAGTGGCGAGTTGGTCGTCAGTGCGAGGGTGGGTGACTTGGAGGAGGTCATGTGAAGAGGAGATGATGGAATGTGGGCAGACTTGGAGCCAGGTGAAGACTCTAGCAGAGAACCGAACGTAATGGAGACGCATGGCTGAAGCCCTATGTTCCTCTAGGAATTAAAGGAAACAATTATGATAATAATAATGTGTACTGTATAAAAATGTAGTGACTTGATGTGGGAAACGTTTTTCAACCATTCCACAGCAGCCTCCACACACACATACACACACACACAAATTCGTACTCATAACGCAGTCTTCCTTGATGAAATGTACCAAAATTCTTTAAGAATAACTATTTTTATACTATTGGGATTTAATGCACACACACACTAAAGAAGAGAATTTTCTAGCTAAAGGTCATCATCTCAGCATAACACCACGAAAATAGTCTTCCAAATATAGTTCAGTGATATTTATAGTGAAAATGTAAAACAGCAGCCCACATGCATAATCGCTCTGTCTCTCTCTTTTTCTAACTTTCTCTCTGTACTACATCAAATGACGTGATAACTGTTCACATATACATTCATACATACATACACACGATTGACAAAGTAATTTCCATATTTATCAGATAGTAAAAATATTTTGGGTCGCAAAAAATATACTTCCATTAATTCATGATGAAAAACTCAGTTAACTTTTGTTCAACGAACAAATATTTCCCCATTTAACCAATTCATTTTTAAGCAGCTGGACAACAGTCGTATTTATATTACGTAAAAACGGAGGAAGGCATTATTGAGTGGCACCAGAAACTGCTCAGTGGTCATAGTATTCCACATATGATGACAAGAATAAAGATAATTAAAATGATGTACTACTAAGGGGCAAGGGGTGAGGTAGGGTTGAACTGGATGAATTAAAACCTTTTTTCTTCAAGTATTGGTTTTTAAGGATTCATTTGATTGGTTACAGGATTTCCTTATGAGCTCACATTGTTTAGAGAACCACTGGAAAGCCTGGGAGTACTGGACAACTGTTTCGTCCTAGGTTTGGGACTCTTCAGCAGCACGCATCCACCGGGGTTCGAATCCAGGACCTTCTCGTTATAAGGCGAGCTTGTATACCATTAAGCCACTGGGACCCGATCCAATGGCCAGCACATGAATTCCAACTTCTGCCAATTCACGATATCGAAACAATAATAATATCAATGGATTACAGTTCTATAGCATCAACATAACAATAAACTGTATGTCAGAAAAATTAGGAAAGACAATAAAAATACAAATTCATGAATTTATCGTCTCTACTAAAGGCTGGCCAGAAAAGATCAGCAACAAAGATCTCTGGGAGCGAACCAACACAGCAGGAACCGATTGTGAAACAAATAGGCAGGAAGAAATGAAGATGGATTGGCTGGCCATACTGTGAGAAAACCATCAAGCCACTGCTCGAGTGGAACCCGAAAGGGAAGCGGCGAGTTGGTCGTCAGTGCAACGGTGACTTAGAGGAGGTCATGTGAAAAGGAGATGAAAACGTGAGGGCAGACTTGGAACCAGATAAAGACTCTAGCAGAGAACCGAACTCAATGGAGACGCACGGCTGAAGCGGTATTTTCCTCTAGGAATTAAAGGAAACAATAATAATCATACTGAAGGCTGACCAGGGTAGTAGTAGTAGTAGTAGTAGTATTGGCTGAATGGATGGACTTGATATGTCTGCTCACAAAGTATTGGTTGTTCAAGGTGAATCGCGATAGCCTCTGTTGTTTGGAGTTATACTGGCCATTGCTCTAGGAACTTGATTTTTCGTCCTCACTCAAGAACATCCACCAGTGTAGCTAAGTAGTTGAGTTGTGGTAAGGCGTGAGTATTGAGCGAAGACAACTGTTGATGAAGGTCTGCAGTTTATTCGATGTGCTCTTTATCACGCGCAGTGCAAGTCTCTGATCCGTATAGTGAGCAGCACTGACTGACTTCACATTGGAGTTGAAAATCCGGATCTTATTCTCATTTTGATGCTGAGCAGTGCTGTTGACCTCCACACAGACTTGAGAGTAGTGAAAGCTTGTCTTGCTTTTCCGATTCTTGCTTTGATATCCTCGTCAGTTCCATCAGCCTGTAGTTGAACGATGCTTCCCAGGTAGGTGATGAAGGAGGTTGTTTCTTTCATGTTCCTTCCATTTATGCTGATTGTTGTCTGATGTTGTTGTTGCTGTTGCTCTTGTCCAGGAATCCTCATCACCTCTGTTTTCTCTATGTTCACCTGAAGTCCTATTTTCTTTGGATGCTTCTTCTGCCAACTTGTTGTTTTTCGCTTGCATACCTTCCAGTTTGTGGGAAATCAGACATATATCATCATCGGGAAAGTTCAGATCCTCCTAGTTTTTTGTGTGAGTCCATTTTATGTTTGTTTCTTCGTTGCCTGCTGTTTGTCGTATTACCTAATCGACGACTGCAATTAAAGGGTTATATACCAAGTGAGATAATTACGAAGAAATTAAGAAAATCAGTTCAACGTACTTCTAATGATGATAAACTACAAGTCTTATTTTTGTACACGACCGATAGTGATTCCTCAATTGAAAGATGAAATACCCTGACTAGCCACCTCTAAGTGTATCTTCCAATTTAACTGCGCTTGTGTTGGAGAGACAGAGTTATATTTTTTGTTGTTCAGAGAATTTGATTTTTCATGCTGGAGAACATCTCCCACTATGGCTAAGTAAAGGTGTGGTGAAAACCATCATCAACAGTTCGATATTAGACCACCTGGTCCAAACTGGCCACGAAGGTAGTCAGCATTGAAGAATCCTTCTGTATATCATCTACTGAGTGTGAAATAAATTGCCAAAAACATTGAAGTACCACATGCTCCAAACAGCAAAGGCTATTGCAATACGCCTTAAACAACCAGTGCTTCATATGCGAAAGAGGCAAGTCCATCCAGCCACTACTACTACTACTACGCTGGCCAGCTTTCAGTAGAGATGATAAATTCATGAATTTGTATTATTGTCTTTCCTAATTTTTCTAACATACAGTTTATTGTTATGTTGATGCTATCGAACTGTAATCCACTGATGTTATTTATTATTGATTCAATGTTATTTAAACAACATTATTGTTGTTATTAATAACACTAATTCATTCATTCATTTATTCACTATCAAGGATATCTAACTGTAGAACCTGATGATGAAGAGCAGGTTATCGGAAAGAATATTCTTTGTTCATGTGTAACCATTGTTTTGAAAACTTTTGCAAACAGCCAACGAATTACCACTGCTATGAATTGTCATTCGGTACTCTGACCTAAATCCAATTAGGTACGCTGCTCCTTTATAATCTCAGCGTCAAAACAAGCGATATGGTCGTTCTGGTTGTTTGTTTGCTTTTAAAAAAGCACTCCAACGTGCGGGTTCTCAAGTAGTTATATCAACCAAAACTACACTACACTACACTAAACTCCATCTCTCATACATTTATGCGTCGGTGGCAGAGCAGTTAGGACTCGTCGACCACGCACATGATCTGGGGTCGCAATCTTCTGCCGACACTTATCTGCCATCAATGGTCGGTCGGCCTGCAAAATTTGGGCTAACGATAATATCACATTCAAGTATTGGTTTGTAGGGATTTGGTTGATTGGTTACAGGATTTCGTCATGAGCTGACATTGGATAGAGAACCATTGGAAAACCTGGGAGTACTGGACAGCTGCCTCGTCCTTGTTTGGGACTCTACATCAGTACGCACCCACAACAGGAGGTTTGAACCCAGGACCTTCTGGTTACAAGGCCAGCAAGGTCGTAGACCACTAAGCCACTGAGACTCGATCCAATGACCCATGAATTCTAACTTCTGCTAATTCACGACATAGCGCAACTGCTAGCCAATGTCTTCGGCAAATATTTATCCTCACACCCGACATGCTGCACCCTACTGGTCACAACTTCCCACTGGAACCCCAGGTAACTAACTACCTACCTGAATAGGGCCAGTCGCCAGTGAGCATCTCATTGTTATTCAAGTATTGGTTTGCAGGGTTTCGGTTGCTTGGTTAAAGGATAATATCACATGCTGAAAAAATTTCAAACTTGTACCAAAAATAAAAAAATGCTGTGTGGAATCAAGCTCTAATCAAAACATTAAAAAACAACATAAATAGAATGCGTCGATATTGTTATCGAATCAGTCTTAGAGTACACAGCAACAACAACAACAACAAAATAATAAACATTCAATCAAACACTCCCTAAAGTCAAAAACTTACCAAACATATTTACAAAACAAGCAATTGACAATAGAATGAATGTGAAACTTTTTAATATTCGACAATCTAGCATATCGATTAAATAAGCCAGTAATTCATTGGTTCTTGGCGCATCGATTAAATTCTTTACATCTGTCAAATGCTTCATAGTCCCATGCTGCTGCTGGTGCTGATGATGATGCCTATTGAGTAGATGATGACGACGATGATGATGGGGGTGGTGGTGATGGTGATCCATAATTTTAACAGATTTATTCATAACAGAATAACCAATCACCCCATCACCACCACCACAACCCCCACTGCTGTCATCGATAGACAAGGAACCGCCACTAACAGCACCACCACCACCACCAACAAGTCCTTCTTGTAGTAAAATTGGATAACGTTTAGATGTGGACTGAGCCAATCGAATTTGATTATATTTCAAATCTTTCAGTAAGGCATGATTTGTCTATGAAAATGGGAAACAATAAAATAATAACAACGAAATTAATATATATATATTAATATATATATATATATATATATAACAAGTGATTTAAGCGATTAAATTTGAGGCGATTTCTTTATTATTAATTAATATTTATATTCTCTAATTGAGATTTGCTTTATCTAGAAGTTATGAGCCAGACAGTGCTAAACGAGAAGATAGGGATATCCTGAACCGACGTGAAGAACCTACAAGACCTGGATTTCGTCCATGGATGATTTATGTCACACAAAATCGAAGACTTACAAGCGAAAACCGACAAACTGGTCGAAGAAGCAGCAAAGACAGGATTCCAGGTGAACATAGACAAGATGGAGGTTATGAAAATAACCAACCAACAACAACAACAACAGCAACATCCAACGCCAATCACCATCAACGGAAGGGATTTGAAAGAGGAGGTTACTTCATTCACTTATCTAGAGAGCATTGTCTCAACTACAGGAGGAACCGACAGGGATGTCAAAGCTGGCCAGGATCGGGAAGGCGAGAAACATATTCATCAACCTGAAACAACCAATCTGGAAATCTTCCGCTGTCACTCAGCCTGCATCAACAACAAAGTGATTCGGATTTTCAATACAAACGTCAAGTCAGTCAGTCAGTTATATACGGATCAGAAACTTGGCGGCGGGTCACAAAGAATATTTCCAACAGCCTGTTGCAGACCTTTATCAACAACTGTCTTCGCTGGCTCTATACTAAAAATCAGATGGCCGGAAAGAATCAACAACAAGAAACTATGGGAACAAACAAAACAAGAACGAATCGCCAACCAACAAATATGCGGGAGAGAGTGGAGATGGATTGGACACTCGGTGAGCTGAGGAGGCCGCTTGGTGACTTCGCGCGTCAGGCCATACATAGCTCGAGTGGAACACGAAAGGGAAGCGGCGAATGAGACGTCCAGGCGTGACATGGAGGAGATCGTGTGAAGAAGAGTTGAAACAGTGTAGATTAACATGGACGAAGGTGAAAAGAAAAGCAGAAGACAGAAGCAAGTGGAGACGTGCAGCTGAAGCCCTATGTTCCGCTAGGAATCAAAGGGAACAATAATAATAATTTATTCAGAAGTTAGCACTGAAAATGCTATTTATGGAAAGACTGTGAAACGTTCACCAATTTAAAAACCTTTCAGATCCGCCATAGCCAAAGAGTAACAATAGATCTCGGATGAATGTTTCTCTTCTCAATTTTTTCTGATTTGCAAGCATCTATTTCCTGACACGAATATAAAACAAACAACAAATTTTCCTTAAAAGAACAGGATTCAGTGAATTTATCAAATTTCTGTAGAACTCTTCCTCAATTGAATACTCTACAACCTCTTTACTAATCAGTAGGCGCCTTTTCTTTCCTTACTCGTCTTGAATACTGTAGATTTACAAAAATTGATTTCACATTAGGAAGGTTCAATGTCGCTTTTCAACTTCCGCCGGTGATCTTTTATACCCTCTCATTTATAAGTGTCTGTAGTTAAGGCAACACTGCTTTCACAAGCTAATGAAGGAGGTGATTTCCTCTGGATTTCTCCCATTTTTAGTGATAAGTTCTCGTTGTTGCAAGGTGAGGTAACTTCATTATCTTATTGATTTTTTTGATCACTTGGACTCCTGTCTCCTCTACTTCTGATTAGCTTTCACCCGTTGTAGGTCTTTGAGTTTGTAAAACCATATGACATAAATCGTCGGCTAAATCCAGATCTTGTTGAGTCTTCTTGTTTGTGATGACTGTACACAGTTATGTGCATTTAGTAATCGACAATTCTCACTAACGAGTAATTATTCCATCTTTAATATGAATACTCTGCATTACATGCTAAGTGATGGGTGTTATATGGTGAATAATATTCAGGTTTGACTTCGATCGAGTGGTAGGTTAGAAGGGTAAATCAATAGACTAGGTCGTGAAGCAGTTACACCGATTGAATGAGATGGTTAAGACATATGTTACGCATGCATGTCTAGACATCGATCGTCTTCTTCGACGGGGAATGTTAGCTGACTGATATACGACTGATCAGGCTGGAAAGGAGCCAGCTAGTTGTGACTAAAACAAAACTTGAAATTAGTCGATGTAATCCATAACAGTTAGTTAAAGTCAGCCACGTTGGCTGGTTGGGACCCTAGAGATACTAAGAACCAATGAAGACTGGAGACAGTTAATGATACCGTTGAAAATCATTCTCAATGGCTGGTGCAGATGCACTTATTCTTTGTGATTTGTCATATCCAATTATAAACTGCATTGTTCCTCTATATTACTATTCTCCCCTCCCCTTTACTTTCTTCACTTATTTTGTGTGCTATATGGAGGGAAGTTTGGCGACTTGAAGTGGTGCACATCTGTGCGAAAAAGTTGAAAAAACTCACACTCAGTCTCAAAATTCGTGCCTACCACCGACACACAACAGCAGGTCGGAGTTCAATTCATAAACCAGCGTACTTCTAATAGTCTATAATATATTTTTATTGTTCCCTTGGGTTCCTAGTGGAACATAGGGCTTCAACTACACGTCTCCACTTGCTTGTCTTCTGCTGTACTTTTCACTTGCATCCATGTTAATCCATACTGTTTCATCTCCTCCTCACACGACCTCCTCCATGTCACCCTTGGACGTCCCACTCGCCTCTTCCCTTTCGGGTTCCACTCGAGCACTGGCCTGACGCGCGATGTCACCCAACGGTCTCCTCACCGAGTTTACAATCCATCTCCACTTTCTCCTGCATATTTGTTGTTTGGCGATTGGTTATTGTTTCGTTTGTTTGTTCCCATAGTTTCTTGTTGGTGATTCTTTCCGGCCATCTGATCTTCAGTATAGAGCCAGCGAAGACTGTTAGTTGTTGATTAAGGTCTGCAACAGGCTGTTGGAAATATTCTTTGTGACCCGCCGCCAAGTTTCTGATCCGTATAGAAGAACTGACTTCTTTTAGTCACCTCTAGTTTATTAGCTAAATAATCAGTCTAGGGAAGCAGAAAACCTTGGTCATGAATCTAGCAACCGCTCATCGTTACTGAGAGACTTTACAGGATAAAGCTTGACATTGTACACATTCCCAATCAGAGAATGTTAAAGAATGCGAAAATACTTTTTTCCAGGGTATTTTTTCATCAAGCAATCTAGACAGGTTTTTTCTTATTATTACTCTGTTTTAGGTTAGGCTTTCTGCAACAACAAAAAATATTTATGTTCTCTGTGTTCTTTATTTATTTATTATTATTATTATTGGCATAATAGTGTACAGAAAAATAATCTCTACTATCCCTGAATTTTTATTTACCTATCCGTATGTCTGATCATTCGACTTTTTTCTAAGTTAGTAAGTAACTTAGAATAAACAAACTGCTACAATCAAGCAAGCTTGACAGTTTCTTTTCAAAACAGATCCATTATTATTACTATTATTGTTTCCTTTAGTTCCTAGAGGAACATAGGGCTTTAGCCACACGTCTCCATTGCGTTCGGTTCTCTGTCAACGTTTTCACCCGGCTCCACCACGTCTGCTTTCATCTCCTCTTCACATGACCTTGCCTACTATGTCACCGTCGCACTGACGACCAACTCACCGCTTTCCACTCAGGTTCTACTCGAATGATGGCCTGCGTTGCATTGGGATATCACTAACATGATGGTTTGTTTTCTCAGAGTATGGTCAGCCAATCCACCTCCATTTCTTCTTGCATATTTGTTGTACAAATAATTCCTTTTGGGTTGGTTTTCTCCCAGAGATCCCTCACTATTGCTGATCTTGAACGAAGTATTGAGTGAAGACAACTGTTGATGAAGAGGTGTAGTTTGTTCGAAGTGCCCTTCGTAACAAGGCGCGGCGGCACGTCTCTGATCCGTATAGTGAGTAGCACTGACTTCAAATCGAAGTTGAAAATCCGCATCTTATTTTCATTTCCATACTGAGTGGTGCTGTTGACCTCCACACAGAGTTGAGAGAAATGAAAGATTTCCTTGCTTTTCCGATGATCCTTCCTTTGATGATATCCCCATTAGTTCCGTCAGCCTGCGGTTGAAATGACGGTGCTTCCGAGGTATGTGGGTAGGGGAAGGAGGAGGTTGCTTCTTTCAGATTCCTCCAATTCATGCTGGCTGATTGTTGTCTGTTGTTGTTGCTGTTGATAATGCTGTTGGCCAGAAATCTACATCACCTCTGTTTCCTCTATGTTCACATGAAGTCTCATCCTCTGTGGATGCTTCTTATACCGACTTGTTCCATTTCACTTGCATATCTTCCAGTTTGTTGGAAATCAGACAGATGAATAGTACACATTTCCACAATCATAACACTGATAATGAGATATAAGAATGAAGGCGAGAAATAGCCATCTGAGGCATTGCTAACAGTCAGCTAAGGACTCTTATCAGCAAGTGAAATTCAGATGACCGACCAGGGACAGTAAATATTGAAGAACTCTGGCAACATGAACAACAACAACAACAGCCTATCACCCATCACATATGCTGAAAAAAATGAAGTGGGTCGATGGGTGGATTGAACAAACGCTTAGGAATCTGTTGAACGATATTATGAGCCACACAATCAACCGAGTAGAATCTGAACTAGAAGAGACCAGTTAGACAGACATGAGTCCAATTGTAACACGGAGGAGATGAGTGATTATAGGCCAATCGTATCATCATTATTACTGTTCCCTTGGGTTCCGAGTGGAACAACCAACTTCAACAGCACATCTCAACATCGTCCTGTTCTCCGAAGTACTCTTCAGTTGGTCCCACAATTGTACATATACTGTCATCATCGCCACCTCACACCATTTGCTCCATATCACTCACAGACCCACACCACGCTCGTCGTCTCCCATTCGTGTTCCACTAAAGCGCTGTCACCCAACTTCCTCCACAGTGTGAGTCTGACCTACCTGCTTATTCATCGGAATATTTTTTTTCAGCAATAAGTTATTGATTAGTTTTTTCCTAGAGTTTCTTAATG